GTTGTTTGCAAAGCTGAGGTTCGACCAACGACGAGATTCGTCTTCTTTTTCACTGCAAGGCAATTAGTTGAAAACCAGAGCCCACACACAACGCATTTATTTTATGATTCGACATTTGACAGCGTTGTTTCGACCCGCCAAAGGTCTCATCAGTAGTGCTGGACTGAAACACTCATGATACCTATGGCAAGTCAAAACAGCGCTGTCTGATGTTGAATCATAAATGTGTTGTGTTTGGGCTTTGCTTTCCACTAAATTGCTTTGCGGTTAACGACAGAGGACGAATCTCGGCAGCGATTTTACTCTGTTGTGTTTCGTACACCGGAGCTGAAGTCAAGAGGAGAATCGTCAAGATGTCAACATGTAAAAATAAAATGGGAGAAAATATCTATGGAGAACATTATCATGAATAGTGCACGTAATCTCCCAGACAAGGCTGCTTGTACAGAGTCGAACTAGGACCGACCGATTTTTTTTAATAATATGCGGCTGCTACAGGCGTTAAAAACGACCACTCCGAGACTGTAACATGAATTCCGCCTGCCGATTGCAATTAAATCTGATTTGTCAGCGTAAGAAGACTTGTTTATTCCACTCAATAGATGCGAATGTGCGTGGTGATCATGCTTTGATCACGCATCTATCTTTGGGTTATTTTGTTTGTTGAATGGATATAGTTTAGTTCACAATGGAGGTGGAGAACGACAGAAAATCTGCCTTTTCGAAAGTTGTAATGGAATTGCTGAAAGTCCTTGATTTGAGTAAATTAAGACGCATGCAAACATTTGAATAAAAAAATACATCCAGGTCACAAGATAGTTGAGTATTATAGAAATAGTATCTGAAAGGACGAAAACTAAAACATATGGAGAAAGTTCTCGAAGCAAATATACACTCAAAACGGGATATATGACGAGAATTTCATTCTGAACATCCGAAAAAAAGAAATAATATGATATGTTATGAGATACATTTCTTCCGACAATCACTAATGACTGTTTTATTATTATTTCACCAGTTTGTGTCAATAACCATATTCATAGGAAAGACATGTTTTGGCTTTCTACTTCTCCATCTTCATACAAAAAATGTGGGACTCTTCCAAAAAACAGAAGAAACAATTTCAAAAAATTAACTCTATACAAATTAGCTGCTTCGAAAGTGCTTTCTCTTCAAATTTGTGTCTGTAAGTCACTTCACAAATATTTGTGTAGAGTTAACTTTTTGAAATTGATTGCTCTCTTCCTTTCTTTTGGAAGACTAACATTTTTGTATTAAGATACTCATGTGTAGAAAGCTGAAACTTTTCTTTCCAAAAAATTATTTCCTCCTAAAAATATACCAATTTCAATTTGAAGCATATTCATGTTTTTAGACGCGTTTTTTCGGATACTGTTTAGTTTCTGTCTAATGTATGACCTCCCACATTCCTTGCAAGGTTTACGATACCCAAACGTGACATGACATACATTGGACAAACCAAACACAAGTTGTATTAAGGTGGCAATGTATTTACTGTTTCAAAAAATTCTTCCTTTTAGTTCACTCTATTTCAGAAAATTATAAATGCAAGTAGAATGTTTTATTTGTCTCCGCTGCTACCCGGGCTGAAAAGTCTCAGGCCTAACAAATAGATGGCGATAGTATTACTGAATTCACTACTTTTTCAGTTAGTACTAACATTCAAAAGAAAGCTTTTGAAGTTTCATTATATTCTACGCATAAGTTTGTGAGTTATTGTGCTAAGAAAGACACTACTTTCATTATTCTCAAAACAGTGATTCGAAAACAATTTCGTGTTTTAATTTTACACTGCTGCTTGATGAGAAAAAATACCATTCAAGCGAAGCAATGGCTCGAAAAGTGTTATAAGGACTCCGCTCTATCAGAAACAACGTCTACTGCAGAAGACGTCCACATGAGGCAGTTAACACCAGAAAACAATAAAAATTACAAAATCGTTTTGAATCATAGAAGGAAAATTGCGCGAGTTAGCTGACATTGAAAAGATATCTGAAGGACGTGTTGGCTTTATATTGCATACTCATTTGACTATGAAGGTGCATATTCACCAAAAAAGCGAGCACGAGCGAACAAGAGCGAACAAGAGTCAACGAGCATTCTGCATCAATAATCGTCTGGTGAGTACGGGCTAGCGAGCGAGCGAACGTATGCTTGATCGCGTTCAGAAAAGATCGAGAAGAAAGCGGTACATCAAAAGGTGCTCGCACAAAGTAGATGGATCAACTACGACTACGAACTTGAAGATATTCGCTCTGGTGTGGACGAGACATCAATATGTCGAGCAAACATGGGCGAACATGAGCGAACACGAGCAAACATACAAGAATGCTCGCTTGTGCTCGCTTTTTTGGTGAGTACGCACCTTGAGAAATCTCTGTTCGAAGTGGGTGCCGCGCGAACTCACTGTTGACCAAAAACAAGAATGGATTGATAATTCTGAGCAGTGTTTGGCTATGTTAAAACATAATAAACCGGAATTTTCGCATAGAAATGTGACACTGGATGGAACATGAATCCATCACTTCACTCCGGAATCAAAAAGATCGTTATCTGAGTGAAGAGAAACTGGTGAACCTCGTCCAGAGTGCCCGAACGCACAACAATCGGCTGGAAAGGTTATGGCTTTGGTATTTTGGGATGTGCATGGTGTAATAATCATCAACTATCTTGAGAAGGAAAATACCATCAACAGTGAATATTATAGAGCGTTATTGGAGCGTTTGAAAGCCGAAATTGCAAAGAAACAAACGCATATGGCAAAGAAAAAAAAAACAGAACTGACTGGTATCTCAACCGCCACAAAAAAAAATAACCAGGAAAGGAATTTATGGCAAAAACATAACAATCTGCACTGGTAGCAGACAAGCCCTATTAGCCTTGAACAGACAACGTGTTACCTCAGGGCTAGCACTAGAGTGCCACCAAGATTTAGCCAAAGCCTCGGTAGATAATAACATTATCCTGAGGTGGGTTGAATGGCACGACTGGAGTAAAGGTAATCCCATTGCCGACTCTTTAGCCAAAGAAGCGGCTTGACTAAGGATTTTAAGACCCAGTGACACCTAAGGCCTGATGACTTCGACAATTGCAGAATTAGCCAAACCTCACACCCATGCTCAATCTCTAAAGAGATGGATGGATGGAATGAAAGGATGCAATCTTGCCAGGATCCCCCTGGGCGATGACCAAATCCACGCTTAACAGCAGGATTTCTGACTGGCCACTGTCAACTAAAGTAACACCTCCATAATATGGAGCTAGTGGACACACCTCTAAGCAGGATGTGTGAACAGGACGATAAAACTATCGGTCCTATACGAGTGTCCGGAGTTATCGTCAATAAGAGAATGTGTGTTCGGCGAGTTTTGGCCTATACCTGCCGATATAAAGGAGATGTCTCCCAGTGACCCGTCCACCTTCCTGGAAAGGACAGGATGGACGATGACAACTCCTCGGGAGGATGAACAATGGGTCACATGTGGCCTAAGTGCTGTGAGCCTACTCTCACCCTCCCTACTCTACAGATCAGATCAGAACCAAGCACACACCGAACATGATTTAATAATAAAAAAATAATTGTAATTTTTTGAAAATTAAGAAGTAAGTATTTATAACTTTTTACTTTGAAATAATATTATATGTGTGTTATTTCAGCAATGTGATTGTAAAAAGACTATCCAATATGAATATATGAACTCGATGAAACTAAGTTTATGAAGATGAATATAAATAGAAGCTGGAGACGTAACCATTTTCTCAGTCATATCACTTTATTTAAAAGTTCATCCAAATAAATTTCTTCCAAAGTACTTTTCAAATCAACACAAAATATTCTTGCAAAATCAAAGTAGCTTATGATTGAAACATTAGGAAGAACATAAATAATATGAAGTGTTTTTATTATATCCCTGGTGACTTTAATTTTCATCGTTTTAGGCATTACCAAATGCACACTGAATACCTGGACTTCAAGAAGAGTTTGAGATTTGAGACAAAATCTACATTCAACCATTTCAAGGCATCAAATAATTGTCAGATTACAATAGAAATGAGCTACGTTGTATAATAGACCTGCTTATCACATTGCTGATTCATCATATGAAGATATTTGGACTGTCAAAAGACTGTGCATGTCGTCTCTGTAACATAATGAAACAGAGCACATAATTTGTGCATGCCCCGCCACATACCCAATCAGTTTTTCAATTTTTGGCTCGAACTCGTCATCAAACCAGAAGCATCTTCTACCAAACAAACTAGTCAGTCTGCTTCATTGAGAAACTGTACTTTCTTGGTCAAGTTTGAATTGGTATGACCCACAATAAATCCTAGCGGATTGCCGTAGAGAATCACTCACTTTTTCTGAACATAATCTAATTTAAGAGCATTCATGGCATATGCCTTGATTATGTTACCATTGTTTCAATCTTATAAACTACATCCAAAAAGCCAATTCTACCGAGGAAGCTACGGTGTTAGAGAAACGTGTCTAGAAACAAAAAATGTTTGTTAAAAGTGTTTAATTATTATCATCATGGATAGTGGTAGAGATAATTCTTTAATAATTTTCAAGTTTTTGGAAATGATCACAGGTTTTATCACATTCTTTGTGATCAAAGTTGATTTACTTATTATGAGTTTATTGATGGTGGACTATATTTTTCCAGAGCCTTGGACAGTTTAAATCTAGTTTTATATAGGTATGCAGAAAAAAATAATTCAACCAAGAATTGAATTTTACTGCCTGTCTTCTAGCCAGTTAAATATAGAGGTGTATCTGTGGAACTACACATTTCAGCACTGATTTCTTCAACTTTCAAACCATTTTCCGAAATCAACAGCTTATTTTCCTCCGTTCCAACGAACTCCACTGTATAATGTTTCAAATATCCGGACCCCACCTTCTTTCGTTCAACGAAAAAAAAACGAAATAAAAACATTCTACAGCTACTCGACATGAAAGCGAGTCTATTTAGTAAATCTTTTCATGCGGTTCCTAAAGAAATTAATGGCGCAGAGATAAACGCGGTTTTGAAGTTAGTGACTTCGTGCCAGAAACGGGTATATTCTTGGACGTTAGTCGACAAGTCGACCAACATTTATTATTGAGGATTTTAGGAATGTCACAACCGAGAGAAGATTCGTCGTCTTCGTGTTTCGACGATTCACTATTGTCTTCCGAGCTTGCATGTCTAAAAGGAATGAGTCGATATAATTGCTCTATTTAGAAAAATTATTCTTTCGTTTTTCTAACCGAGAAAAACGGAAAGGCAATAAAACTGGGAATGAAAGGATGAGGCAGAGAAAATGTACGTAATTCTCGAAGAAATCAACATTTAAATTTGAGGGGGTATATTTTTGGGAGATTATTTTAGGCAGAATAAGGTTTTGGCTATCTACTTCTCAGCTTAGGAAATACAGTAAAATCGATTGAAACACTTCCAATTTGTGTATGAAGATGGAGAGGTGGAAAGCCCAAAACAAAAAATTCCTCTATACCTAAAATATCTTGTCAATTCAAACAAGATTCCTATGACTAGGATTAAATCAAACAAGGGAATGAATTGGTCTGCTGCGCCGAAGGGAAGCAAATACCATAAAAAAAAGAAAAGTAGAAGAAGGGAATGAATGTCATTATGTACTGTCATCGATGACATACAGTCATAATGTTATGGATGAATTGGGTGCTTCATCTTGTAATGTGGTCCAGATTGGTGCTGAAGAGGTAATAAGCAAGTGTCTTATTCCGAAACATCACATGTTCACCAGTAAGAATGACAGTGTTCCATGTAAGTTGAATTTTATCTATTTCATATACTATATTGTGTAGCAATCCTATGAATGATATCTGATTCAATTCCATAAGGAGTGTTACGAGTACAATCTGAATAGGACATTCAATGTTCACATATAATAAAACTATTATAATTAAAGATGAATTAAATATTTTATCTTCAATCTAATTGAATGTTCCTATGAAAGTAGTTGTTTCGAGAGGGATTTTTTCTTCTTCCAGTTTGTGTCTGAAAGTTAATTTTTTGCATGATGCGAAAGGTTTATTTTGGAATCAATTGCTTTTTTCCTTTCTTTGGAAATTACCCACGTTTTTGTATGAAGATGAAGAAATAGAAAGCTAAACCTTTCTTTTCCAAAATCAACATTTCTTACTGACAAAGCATCTTTATAGCTCAATAACTTCTCAGTGGAATTTGAAAAAAACACATTGCAATTCAACAAAATTTTAATTCTTCTACTCGGTCGTTAATTAAAACCACTGTTGTCATTTTAATAAATGCTACCTATGTATATAATAAATTAGCGTTTGTTGTATTTTAGACTGTATGAAGCTGAAAAGTGAGACTTTTTGGAAACCAAATTTTCGAGAGTAGGTACCTATTCTAAATATATAGTTGAATGGGACGGGTCAAGTGTAAATATAAATCAACTTGAAAAGCTGCAGATGTTCAACAGGACTCTCTCTGTAAAAGCATAAGAAATGTTGCTACATAATTGCGAACTTGAAATAACTTTTTATAGACACCTTTTTGATGACGGATTTTTATGACAGTTCCTCTAGAAAATTATTGCCTTGTTCACCTATGTATCTATAATGCCCAAGACGTCATTAACAATCAAAAGGGAGACATGGAAGGAGATACTTTTTTTAGATGCCAAATGTTAACCTAACATTTGAAATGTGTGACCACTCACAGATGAAGATCCTTTTCATCGTAAAAATCATAAACATTCACAGTTGTACGTTACCTGTTTTGAAAAAGGACATAATTGAACCAGATAACTCCTAAAAGCCAAACACCGCTCAAGGTCTCGTGATTCAAAACAGTACAGTATATTACAAATGCGTCCAATTGGTCAATAACAAACACGATTTTTCCAATGGAAAACCGATCACTACACTCAAATTGTTTTTAAATTCGGATGATAACAACACGTGAAAATAATAATCAAACACACATCCAATAAAAGATTGTTTTCAACATGGCCGCCACAAAATGCTATTTCACAAGGATTTGTTGACCCTGGCTCTACGGGAAATTCTATTGGTTGTTAGATCTTGGTCTGCGCTCTCATTGGCTCGATTCAAGGTTATGGGCACAACATGGATTATACACCTGTCATCAACAGAATATTTTCAAAAGTTCAACTATTAGAGCAGTACTACATATTATGAGTCGGTAACAAAATCAGCATAGATTATCAAATAATTGTTTAATAAAGCGAATCTACAGCTATTTTCCTCTAAAACCATAAAAGTTATCGAACATTATATTCCAATACGGAACTGCCATCTGTTGACGGAGTGGGATGACACTGCGTTTGTTTGATTATTGCTAGATGGTAGCGGTTGCTACGCGGCAAGTTCAAATGAACTTAATCAAAATGTGAAAATGGTCCAAAAACAGATAGGCATAATTAACAGTGATCATGTTCCTACCTGTTTTCCTGAGTATTATCTTCGCCTTCAACAAAAAACAAACATGTAGTGTTGAAAGACTCCATCAACCCAAGCTGTCAAAGTGCAGAAAATTATTTTGCATACATGGATTTGAAAGTTTCTACAACTTGTCACCGATTCCGAACTATATCACTGAACACTTCTGCCCTTACACAACGTTGTTCAAAAGGAATTGAATGAATTATTTTCAATTCGAGTGATTTTGGTTATTTCGTGGGTAAACGAACTGCACAAGGAGAAATGTATTGGACTAGCCGACAGCCTAGGAGGCTCCCGATTCTCATGCGCTCCGGTGCTTGACAACAAAGTTGCCAGGCAACCAACAGCGCGTCACTACCCGAAGTGCGCTGGAGCAATGTGAGAAAAGCTTAAATTGATTAGAAAGAAATTGTGGAAGGAATTCCGCCAGCTTCGCTTTTAATTGAAAAGTTGGCATCTAAGAGAATTAAATCGTAATCTCTAATCAAGTTGCCAGTTACTGAAAATCTAGAAGCCTGTCTGTATTTGCAAAACCTTGGATCAAACCGATTGATGCAGTTCATTGAAAAAAACCATACCATCACAAATTTGATTTTTAATAGACCAATTTATTATATGAGCATTATATTCCCTTTCTGGTTGAGTTTGATTCACTGAGATGAATATTATTGTATTTTCATGAAGCGAAGTGAATAAAGAAACCTCTTCAGTCAATGATACCACATAAAATCAGATATTTATTGAAATTTTTGGCAACCATCCGTAGCAACTGCTGCTACAACAGAATTATTGTCTAAAAAAATCGAAATTGATGGATATGAAGATATTAAAAAGTTACAGAGAATATGTAATTGTGGCTTATTTGGCGCAAAAATCTGGAACTATCAAATCCTCAACCTTGTGCAACAGTACAATTTTGGTGAAGAATAATGTAAATATAGCCACTTTCCCAAAAGTTCTCGCATTTCTTAAAAGGACGAATGTTAGTTCTAGAGTAAAAAATGTGAGGTCTTCAACAGCGAGCAGATCCACAAATTCATCAGGGAAGCAACTAATGAAATATACCTACCTAATGAATCACAAGAAAATAAATTGTTCGATTCAATATTCATGTAGATTTTAATTTTTGGCTAAATTATACTTTATGGCATACTCACGGATTTTCGCGATTTTTTTGGGATGATACCTACTACATGATGATAGGAATTCAGAACACTTTTCATTTATAGTCGGACTCAATTAATTTTTGAGATATAGCCTGTCAAAGTTTGTATGATGTCATGTTTTACCTTTTTTTTTAAGCAATAAACTATTGCAATTCACATATTTTTCATTCAACAAGTCTTTTTCCACATCACCGTACCTTTTTCTATCCCTTTTCATTCACTTATTGCCAAGTTTCTTGAAATTAAGTTGAAATTCCATAATTTGTCAGGTGCTCAGGTATACAACACAAATCACTTTTTGTAAATTGCATAACATTTCACTATTGGTATTAGAAAAGTATCTACCCACCAAAAACTATATTTTTCAATAATCACTAATAACTCATAACGTTTTTGAATTTATTAACTTCCACTTGATATGACATTTATAGCTAAAATGAGAACAATAAATGACATGGATTGATAGAAAATTGATAAATATTGATGTGCGCATTTGTTCAACTGTTGGTGAGTAGTGGCGCACGTTTATCTGTCAAGCGGCTGTCTTTATTTTTCATTTACACATCTAATTTTTTTACATGGTACCTGGGAGCAGCCTGTCTGTATAGAACACTGCCGGGTCATTATCTTATTGGGTTTTTCCCATCTATATATCCCACCAATACAAACAATCTTTTTTCCGGGACTAGTATGTGCAGGTACCGAAAATTTACTAATGCCTCACATTCGCACGAAACATGATGAACTGTCTTTGTCCTTTATGATGCAGCTAATGTCTCCGGTATACTGAACTATTGATCAAGTGTCCTCTCGGTGGACAACGTCCAGTGAGGAGCCCTGTAATTATTTATTTTGAGCCGATGCTTGCTTTGATAAAGTACAGTAAGTACTCTTTGTTTTTTATAGGCTTTCACTGATTAATCTTGTTTTCTCTACCAAAGATTTTGGTATCCACACAGCTGGGTCATGGCCTACAGATTGAGTTATTGATGATTCATAGACAAATATCTGAGCACTCATCAATTTTTTCGTTGCCAGTGATACCATATAATATCCTATCAGCTATTATATATCGATATCACCTTAACAAGTCACAGTAGGGCGTGACAATTAACATTAAGTCTATTTCTTACAGACAGTCACCTCAGTTCTTCACGGCTTATTCCCCAGACCAAACTGCAGTCAAAAGTACAATCTGAAAAAATTAGGCCGCTTATGTCGTGAAAATTTTCCTGCACAGTAAATTCCAACTTCCGTCTCATGATCGGTTTTCGACCCAATTGTATACAGGCACTTGCGAACAGGTTTGTTAGATGACAGTTTATTCTCCTCTCTTCGCTGTTTATAACTTCAACGGTGTAGTTTGTCGAACATGTATTTATCATCGTCTCCCACAAGTTTGATATTCGTTTCTCCATACACATTCCGATGACGACATCATTCCATTTGGATTCTAGGACATCGGCTGCGGATGCACATCTTCACCGGCAACAGGAAGTTGCATATCTTAATGAGGATGTAGAAATAATTTCGAATGAACCTTTTTCCTGAAGTACGAAAAATCACTCGCTAGCAGCGCTAGTAGTTCGGTAGGGACAAACCCTGCCCTGTCCTCATATAAACATATGGTAAAGTACAATTAAAAAAGAATGTTTTCAACAGAAGAAAATGTTCCTGGAGCAAAACTAAAATTTGCAACTGTAAAGGATAACAATATTGTAATATTAAAACGTTGGCTTGCATGCCGTAATTTAAAAGTAACTGGAAAAAAAGTGAATAAATAGACAGGTTAGTATATTACAAACTCTAGTAGAAGAGTAGCGGTAGATTCAAACTGTAATGAAAGAAGTTAATAATTATTATGAATTTCAGATTTATTTAAATATAAATGTCTCCGAATTAATATAATAATTTCAGGACAGACAATTCCGTTTTCTGCTTCGATAAGCTTGTTGGGGGTTAAAATGGACACCAAATATGTCTT